CAAAGTTCTCTATTTTTAATTTAATCTTTTGGGTGGTCTTAAAGTACTGCAATTTATTTGACAGATAAATCCAGGTTTTTTTCCCGACGGACGTGTTTGGACATTTGGATTTTGGAAAGTATGCATGTGAACAATTTTAATTTACGTTATGTTGTGTATACAACATTGTGAAAGCTTTAATCAAATAACTTGTAAATAATAAATATGACTTTGATAGGGTATAAATGGAAAAGGATGTTACAATACAGCATGTTCAGGGTTTGTTCAAGTATCGAGTGTAGTTCCTATAGTCGAGCCCGTTTATTTTTCTCCAGGTGGCCCTAATTGGATGCATATTTCCATTCATCAGGTATTTTCTAATTTTATATAGATTTATTTCATTTATGAGCGACAAATTTATAAATTTTGATTTTAATTATATATATAATAAATTAGTGATCAATGTATATGACTATAGTCCTCTTTGACTAGGTTGTATACTTTACTCTTTAAAGTAATTTGATTAGCGTATTTTTTACTCCATCTTCTTACATATATTAACAAAAAAAAAATTTGTTGTCTATAAATATATATAAAAAGGATAAAAATACAAAAAATTGGTGGCTTACGCAAATGAACCCTCATGGATCTGACACAAATATTGGATATTGGCCAAAAGAGTTGTTTAATCTTTTCGACAATGGTGCAAATATGGTTGGAGTTGGGGGTGTAGTCCAGGCTTCGCCATCTGGTTCAAGTCCTCCAATGGGTAATGGCAATTATCCTGTCGGAGATCGCAAGAAATCATCAGCGTTTACAAATGTTGAAGTCTTGAATTCTAACTATGAACAACGTAAAATAAAGGATTTTCCTATAGAGAATTTGCTAGATAGTCCTAGATGTTATGGACTAAGAATTGGTAAAAATCCGTTTTTGTTTGGTGACAAACTTGGATTTTTTTTTAATTATGGTGGTCCGGGAGGAAATTCTTGTGGAGTTTGACATTTGTCAATATAATCTTTAAATTTGGCATGTAGTAAATTCATAATGAATAATTCTCTTCTTTTTCTATGTTCTCAATTAAGGGTAGCGTCTTTTAAACTAATGATTTTATTGGTAGTGGTTAATGTTCTATCTGACTGCTAGCAACCTTCGTCAACACAAGTAGAGGAAATAGTCTAGAATTGAAATGGTTAATCGACTCGGTTACTATTTCAGTTATAGTGGTCCAAGGGTTGTTAGATTTGAGGAGCAAACTAAGAGGGTAATAAAATGCTGAAAAGATAATTCCACTATAAGACAAGTTACAACATAGTTGATGTATGCATATGCACAGACTCATTTGTATTCAATAACAACAACTGCAAATGATTGCGTTTCAATGTTGTTCAAAGGTTACACGCCTCTCTTCAGGCTCCCGGGTGCACCTGAAACAGAATTTTGTTCTTATGCATTTTTTTTGTCTTCTATAAATTGTGTTAATCAAGCTGAAATATGAAAGATTTCGATTACCTCTTTCAAACTTATGGTTCGGATCCTAAATTCACCTCTGCTAGTGGTCATTTCGTCCAATATTTCTGCGTCGTGGAATTCATCTTCACCTTCTGATAAATGACGAGATGATCCTAGTTTCTGCTCACAAAATGTTTCAAAGGTATCAAACACTTATTAACAGAATTCCCCTGACTAAATTAAGACTCATTAAGACAAGAACAAATACAAAAACAGAGCATTACCCGGTATGCAAAACTTGAGTGTTGTATAGGTGCTGCTACTATTTCTTCATAGTCAGAAGCATCTAACACTTGAAGGTATTGAGGATCAAATATTTTAGGAAGCAAATGTTCTCTTATACTTATGAGTAGAAAGAAGAGCGCCGGAAAAAATATTCCGGCCATAGGAATCCATGTCATGCCATAACACAAGAGAAAATAAACCAACTGGAAAAAAGTGAATGACACAATCACTCTGTATGGTACTAACTCCACAAACGAAGCGTGTACGCCTTCCAGGACTCTGCATTTTATAAAACCAGTGATTGAGAAAGAAGCTCTCTCTGAATATAGACTAAAGAAAAGCTTTTTACTTACTTGAAAAGCCGTCTTGGAGGAATGAAGAGAAGCAACAATCGCTCCCAGAATTGGTTTCCAGGGAGACTATCTATTGCCATATAAGCAAAGTAACCCCAAAGAACGGAACTTGGGATCATTTTGATAACTGGCACTGCAAGGAGTGTTAAACCCACTAAGACTGATTGCAAGAGATTGCTCACTCTTTGCTCGTTTACTCTAACCGGTAAATGAGCCTCTATATGCACATCGGGATCGAATTTCCCTTTCGTATCTCCTCCTTCGTCCGGTCTCATCACAACTTCTTTCAAATCTTTCAAATCTGTGGCTACTGAATAATCCTACAGAATTCTTCTTTTTATATCAGTAGGTTATTATAAGATAATATAGGAGAGAGTGACCATAATTAACCTGAGGTGAGCAAGTTTCCATCTCTATAAACACTGTTTGCATTCTCCCATATATTTCTGATTTGGTGGCTTTCATCTTCATACATTCCTTTGCACTCTTCACCATTTTCTTGCGTATAAGCTGCAAAAAGAAAGCCAGGCTTCGAAGTTGTAAGAAACTATTTCAACTCTTCTTCTTCGCAGATATTCATTGATCTTACCTGACGATTGAGAACCGCAAGACTCTTTGTGTGCATTGGAGCCTGAGGAATAACACCATTTGAAGGAGGAAGCCCAAGTAGTCCACATATCAAAGTCTATAAACCACCATAACAATAAAATCTCAAATTTTCACTATATGTACCATGGAAATGTTATCTTTGAAATCAGTTTTAAAAACATGGAAACGCACCATAATTCCAAGCAAGAAGATGTCATAGTGGTAAGCAGAAGGGTTCTTTAGATTAAACTCTTTCTGCTGAGCCATTTGTGAAGCTACACTGTGGTCGAAGAAGTAAAGTCCTGCTATCATCACACCAGGTATAAACGCAGCAAAGATGTACAATACCGGTACCTTCCCCATGTCCTGCATATAAAGATTTTGTACAATTCTATAAGTAACATATTACGTTTTGCATTTGGATTGATCATAGTGTCATGTTTGCATCTTTAGATCTTACCTTGATTACAGTCCAATGGTACAATGAAGCTGGCTCCCACGGAAGAGGACAGAACAGTCTTCGAGGGACATTTGGAGGGACTGTGCTAGGAATTGCGTAAGACAATGCGGTCCAAAACAAGACCATTAAGGGAACACCATAATCTCCAATGAAACTCCGAAGCCACCCTGTTGTTTAGTGGTCTAAGTGAATATCTATGTACACCTCAAGAAACTAATGTAAATAAATAGACAATGACATACCAAATCCATATTTCCAAGATTTCGCTCTCCTGCTCTTCAACGCAGTGATTAAAAGGCCTAGCGAGAAAATTACCGAAAGCAACCCATTTGCATACAGCCAGAGGAAATGAGACTCCCCTGATTCATGAGTTTCACTCTCGGGGGAGCAAAACTCGCTAATCAATCCCTGCGTAAGTTTAACTGAGTATGCTTATTGTAATATACATGGCTAAACTGGAAAATGAAATGGTTGTACCTTGATAGCTTCTTGTAAAAACAGAACAGCAATCAACATGCCAAAGAGTTCTCCAGCGATTCTAGTAAATCTCGTGATGATTGTACACGCGTTACATATCGAAAGAAGGATAAGCAAAACTGAAGTCCATACACAAACCCTGCAGAAATTAGCAAAGAACTCTCATAAAAAAACAGATACATTTTACTCAATCCTAATGAAGTAAGAAGATTATATATTACCAAGCGACCCAAGCGAGGTAAAGCTCCCCACCAATGTCCGGTCTACTAATGCAAAAACTGTAAAGATAAGTATACATAATGATGGTTGGCTCTGCAACTCCAAGTATCAACAATGGCTGTCCACCAAAAATGGCGTGGATGATTCCACATATCGAAGTAGAAGCTAATGTTTCCACCGCGCTTAGAGCTCCGCCTTTTAAACCACGCATTGAATAAAAATCATCAGACTCTAAAAGATATGCACTCCGGATTCATAAATAGCAACATATGTATGAAGAAATGCTCATAATACCTGTATGTTTACTTAATTGCTCACCAAAGGCAACTACAGGAAGAGACGAGGCAAAGAAAATATAACAAGTCGGAGCCAAAATTCTAGTGAAACAGTAAAATCAAGAAAGAAAGAAAAAAAAGTGAATTCTGATTCAATGTTTACATTTCAACAGAAATATTGGTAATTTAACATTTACCTTAAACCGGTGTTTAAGCCAAGAATCCAATCTTGTTTGTAGCATTTGCGTCGACCTTCGATATCTCGGAGTATTCCTTGAAATGGACCTCCTTCACTCTCCATTGCTGCACCAATTCACACACACATTCACAGTTATGATATAATCTTGCAGGAACAAAATGCAGAGTAAGATTGCAACTGTAAAACCCCAAGTAGAAGAAATTGAGCAGGTAAAAGCAATAATAAACTCCAGATTTTGGACAATTCTCAAAGTAGAATTCGACATACCTGGAGAGCTCAAGATTTCGGCGACGGC